GGAGGAGGGAGGGGGGGGAGGGAGAGAGAGGGGGAGAGAGAGGGAGGGTAAGAGGGAGAGAGGGAGGAAGATGGAGAGAGGGGGAGATGGAGAGAGAGAGGGAGAGAGAGGGAGGGTGAGATGGAGAGAGGGAAAGAGATATGAGCCCCATTTGTCCATTCTCAGGAATTTGGTGGAGTTTATGGCGGTGCAGAGCTGTTGGCAATATAATTAGTCCTTGCTCGCATTATATCTTCTGCTTCTGAAGCGATCGGAGCTGAAGACTAGAGAACATTGGCAATAGAGATGCGAGGATCATCAAACATGGCTGGGCTATATTCAGTGCTGCACTTGGATGCTGCTCTGGGCACAGTGTGTGCCGTGGCTGCAAAATATGGACTATTATTATGCATTTCTGGAGGAAGAAGAAGTAAGCAGTTGCTATGGAAGATCACGTAGATCAGGGTTGCCCAAGTTTAGCCACTTTCAGACTTGGGGACTTCAACTCCCAGAATTCCCCAACCAGCATGGTCTTCAAAGTGGCCAAGCTTGGACATCCCTGATGTGGATGCTATAGAAAACACCCCTTCCAAATCTGAGTTATATTTTTTTTTTAAAAACCCACACATCAGGAAGAAAGGAGACATCTCATTTATTTGATACTGAGTTCAGGAGATATTCTGCCAATAATAAAGCACAGAAAAGAGATTTTAATTCCCTCCTGAGCTTTTGATTCAGGTTGCCCTGATCACAGTTGCCAAAGCCGACCCACAAAGGTGCCAATTGTTGTCATCTCTTTTTCTTTTTTCTTTTTCCGTATTTGCTTGTGATGTCAACGGGGCTCCAGGTCACTCTTCTAGATAGGCAAAGTTTCCAGGCGTTGGCAAATTCAAAATAAATTTAGCAGTCTCACAAAATAAAACTGCAAACAAAGCAAGAGAAAGAAGGACTGTGGGGGAAGAGAGGAACACGGGAAACTAATAATTAAAGGTGCATTTTCCAAAAGCTTGAAGACTGAAAAGGAAACGCTTTTTTTTTTATACTAACAATGATCAACTGCAATTCCCAGCCAAGAAATTAGAACGTAGCCTATTATTTAATTTTTAAAAAACAACCACAAAGAATTTAGCTAATAGTTTTGCATGGCCCTTTGACTTAAACCCCCGCCCCACCCCCCAAAAGACAGGTATTTTTTTCCCCACCTTAACATCACTGATACTGAGAAACTCCGAAGTAGTTGGACCAATTGGCGATCTTCCCCTTCCGTCGGTCTTTTTATTCTCCTTTATCTCACAAAAATTATGTGTCCACCCCCCACCCCCCCAATCGTTGCTTTAAATAAATAATATGCCACAACAGCTACTGCTGCAGTGACTGTGAACTTGTTCCCAAATGCATAATGACTTCATTGAATTCTAGCTTCCTTCGAGCTCCTAGTTTTTCCCCCTTTTCAGTGGCCTTTTTGTCTTCCTCAGTGACTACATTTAGGGCCACAATAGATGGTTTATCTAAGGCATCTTTCATTAGTGCCTTTTAAAATAAATAAATAAAATAAAGCATCCTGCATGTTCCTTGAGTCGCTTCCAGTATCTCTGCGATTTGCTTTAATGTTGTCCCTGTTGTGTTGGGGTAAAGGAGAGGAAGGGAGAAGGCAAGCAAGATTTTTGCAAATTATTTTATTGCTAGATTCTCTCTTTCTCCAGAGTCTCCCCAGAAAGGAGTGGTCAACCTCAAGGCCCTGAAAATCATATACCAAAGACTCAAAATATTTACAAAGAGAAGTAGTTGCTTCAAAGACTTATGACTTCAATAGGTCCAGAATTTCATTTTTTTTTGAAAAAGTTTTTTTTTTATAACAAAAACAAAAACAGACAATTAAAACCATCTTTCTTTTTCAACAATGTGTCGGTTGGGTACATATATCTTGTGCACATAGTCATATTATCATACATACCTTATTTATATTTATAGCCATTCTAGTCAGTATTTTATATCACATTTATCAATTGTTGTATTGTCATTAACATTCTTATTTTCTTTCAAAATTATATTTCATATTCTTTCTCTTACTCTAACTCAATTATCAATTACATATTTCCATTTCTTACTCTTCTCTCTAGCCATTCATAAAATAAATTCCAAATGTTATAGTAATCTTTTTCTTCCTGTTCTCTAATTGCCATTGTTAATCTACTCATTTCTGCACGTTCCATTATTTTCTTAATTATTTCCTTTTCTGTCGGAATTTTCTCATTTTTCCAATTTTGTGCAAATACAATTCTAGCTGTTGTTCATACATGAATAACCAAAGACATCATCTCTTTATTGTAACCTTCGGGCGAAGAATAGGTCCAGAATTTCTGTAGCTATGCACGGCCGTTGTTATGCGAGACATGCCCAATTTTGCAGCCTGTTTTTTTGGGGGGGGGAATCCAGCTTTTCCCATTGACTTTGTTTGTCTTCCTGGCCTCGTGGGAAGGTCCCAAATGGACATCACATGACCCCAGGCCTAGCCACCATCGTAGCTTTTACATGCCGGCTTCCAGGCAACCAAGTTTCGATCCCATGACTGCAGGGGAAACTGTGATCGTCATAAATTAACACTGCAGTCAATTCTGTCCCTTAAGTGTCACTCTCTTCTGTCTAGGGATTTATACTTAAGGATATGATGCAGTGCAGGTTTTTCCAGGGTGCGTACTTTCCCCCACAACCCTCATTTAGCAAAATATTTCTTACTTCTTCCAAAGTAGTAGAGAATGCTGTATGTTTGTTTCCAGGACTGCAAAAGGCATCAAGAGGATAACTCGTAACTCAGGCCAGACAATTCTAGAGCAGCCCACATACAATATAGACTCTTGATCACAAAGAGACTTTGTATTGTATTTTGGGTGATCTAGAGCAGCGATCTCCCAAACTTGGCAACCTTAAGACTTATGGACTTCAAGTCCCAGAATTCCCAGCCAGCCTGGCTGGGGAATTCTGGGACTTGAAGTCCACGAGTCTTAAGGTTGCCAAGTTTGGGAGACCGCCGCTCTAGAACATCTACCTAACTTCACAAAATATGATGAATGTATGTGGCAGTTATTTTTATACCTATTAGGATAAACCTAGGTTTGTTTCCACATGGACATGAAACCCATCCTCACATTCTTTATTATCGTACAATGATCATGGCATTTAGAAATGTGTGAGTTATAACAGGGACCACAGAGTTTGTGTGTGTTTTTCCTTTCTGTTCCAATCTCTTGCCCATTGTTGTGAGAAGAAATATGGGCAAAACAAATTCATAACTTGTTATAAAGTTCATAATATCATCTTTGTTTTAGCTCATTATGGTTATGGAATCGTTTCCATGGTAGTCTTTGAAGAAATTTCATTTATTAAGTGCTGATTAATTGGAGGATTCTACTTACTCTTTTATCTCCTCGTTGTGTAACATTGATTACAGCAAATCTGGTGTTATTGCAAGCTGAAAGTTGCTATCATTCATGCTGCTGCAAAATATCTGTCATTATTCATTTCATTTTATTGCTTTAGTGAAGGCCATATAATTTGAATGCTTCATCTGCATTTTCTGTCTACAAATGGTCCAAGACACCTGATTATCATAAATTTTAACTAATATTATTAAGCCTGATAAACCAAGTTACTGCTATGGTAGTTCTGTTACCTCTTTTGTGTTTTGTTTTGTTTTTAAAAAACGCACAATGATTTAAGACAAACTAAATTGTTGAGTCTTTAGTGTGTCATTTCTCACTGGTTGTTTAGGTTTTTTTAAAAAGAGAAGCTTTTTCATTATAAGAACATCTGAAGTACTCAATTAAAGCAATTTTGTTTCACTCCTTAAAAGAATAAAATAAAAAGGCTATTTTGTTTTTTGGCAGCACCATTGCGTTATATGGGAATATAAATAGCAGCTCTCAATATTAATTCAAGGGAAGTTCTTGAACAGGAGCAGTAATTCTCCATTATGAGGTACTAAGGATTCCATGAGAATATGAATACACACACACACACAGACACACACACACACACGCCCATGAATAGATAGTGATGACTGCAGGAAATCTCAGCATGTGAATATTACACCATTTTCTTGAAAGTTTTCCTGTGCATTCATTTATCAAGGCCCTGCCAGTGCTGTCTTTTCCCAAAATGCACCCCGCAGGCAAATTCTTTTCTTTCATTCCAGCCCTGAGAAGAGAAGAGAAAATATTGGTGCTTTCCCCCGCTCTCTGGATGCTATTTCTTCAGACCTTTTGTGCTCATCCTTGCCAGGAAACGCAAACTGAATTACTTTCTTATTTATTTGGCTTTTGCTGATAATGGCAGGAGCAGACGGCACCAAAGAAGCGAGAGAATGCAGATTAAATGGACGGAATAGCAAATGCCGTAGAAAAACAGAAAAAGAAGAGAATGAAATTTAACAGAGATAAAGACAGCATTCTTTAGGAAAAAATTTTTTTTAACCTGGATGGCTAGTGGTACCTGTGGATATAATCCGGAACCTGAATTAAATCTGTTGGCTTTAAAACAGTATTTTTCAACCTCGATAACTAGCGGATGAGTGGACTTCAATTCCCAGAATTCCCCAGACAGTGGGAACAAAAGAACAAAAATAAAAATAAAATAGAAAGAATTGGCTTCTGATATTCCTTACAGCAATATACCAATATATTTCAACCTCTCTAAAGTTATAGCTTGTTACAAGTGGATTTACATTTGAGCTCCCAAATTTCTGTTGATAAGCAAGATCACTGTTCAGTGAGTTTTGTTCTGTTTTATGACCTTTCTCGCCGCATCTGTTAAAGAAACCATTGTAGTTAACTTACTAACGGGGTTGTTGAGTGAACCAGGGCAGTTCTTAAAAGTTAGAAACACGGTTGTTAAGTGGATCTGGCTTCCCCGCTGGCTTAGTCAGAAGGTCGCAAAAGGGGATCAACTTGGTTTTTCTTTCCATGCCGATACACATCCCTGACTCCAGAATTTTATTTTTAACCCGCCTTTCTTTTTCCTTACAGATTTCTCAGGAGACGTAACTTACTCTCACGGCTTACTGTGAAGATAAAAATGAACTAGCCTCTTCACCATCTGACGCACGCTGGCGAAACTTGACTTCAAGTCTGCTGAAAGTAAGTCAGAGGAGGAGACGTTGACAATTCTTCTTTGTCATTCTTCGTAGAATAGAATAGAAAAGAATAGAGTAGAATTAGAATAGAAAAGAAAATAATAAAGTAGAATTAGGATAGGAAAGAATAGAATAGAATTCTTTATTGTCCATGGGATGACCCGGGGTGGGATATAAAACAAACACAGTCACAGAAAATAGGTGAAGCCCCTTTTATTCCTTCACTTTGCTTCCAGTTCCGAATATCTTTGACGGAAGACAAAAAACTCCCACACAAACAGTTACAAGAAGAAGGGAAAAAGCAAAACAAACCAGGCAAGAGAAGGGCTGGAGGACATCCACAGATAACACACACTGGGAAGGACGCCAAACTCAGAGAGGAACCATCAACTAGAGATATTTCCATGCTTTGTTTCCAGCAGTCGCCTGTACGCATGTCCGTCTTCTTATCCAGTTGTCACAGCTGCAGCCCATGAAGAGGATCAAGGCCCTTTCCTTCCCCGTAGACCATTCACGCCTCTCCCTTATCCTCTCCTCCCTGTGTGTCCTAGGATGGAGAGGAGATGGGCCTGGGTCCTCCTCTGATTGGTCTTCCCCAGCCTCCTCCACGACCTCCCGAGCCACATTTCCACTCCCTATCGGCTGTTCCTCCCCTCCCTCAGAGTCAGTCTCCACCAGGGCCGTAACAGTCCAAGTGTGATTGGACACACAAGGAACTTGTCTTGGTGCAAATGCTCTCAGTGCACATAAAAGAAAAGAGACATTTGTCAAGAGTCCAGAATCATCAGGTACAACACTTAATGATAGTCATAGGGTACATTAAGCCATCAAATCATACTAGGGATCATTTAAGAGAGCCAAGTCCGATGTCTGGGTGTATAGCCCAGATTAGTCTAGGATTCGTCATCCAGAGTCCCTTTGGGAAGATGGGTGGTTAATAAATGAGATGTATAAACACAGGTGGCCCTCAGCTTATGACCGTAATAGAGCCGCAAATTTATGTTGCCTAATTTGTTAAGTGAGTTTTGCCCCATTTTACGACTTTTCCTGCCACATTTGTTAATCAAATTGCTGCCATTGTTAAGTCATCTGGTCATTAAGTGAATCTGGTTCCCCCCCCCCCCTTGACTTCGTTTCTCAGAAGGTTTCAAAAGGGGATCACGAGACCCTGGGGGACATTGCAATCGTCATATATGTGAGTCAGTTGCCAAGCACCTGAAGGTAAACCGTGTGACCACGGGGGTGCTATCGTGGTCACAAGGGTGAAAAATGGTTAAACGTCGCCTTTTTTTCAGTGCCATTGTAACTTCATACGGTCATTAAGCGAACTGTTGTGAGACAAGGACAAGCTGTACATAAAGTAAAGGACTAAATAAAGAGCCACTTTCAGGTGGATCTCTGGTTGCCTCTTCTTGTGAGCGATATGCTCTCCTTATGCGCCATGTGGCCTGTGCAACCTCATGTTAAAGGTCCCATACACCATCTTGCCCCATACACCATCCATCAAAATTCATATTAGTGATCTGCGGGATTTGAAATTATGAGTTTGGTGGTCCTTGAGGTCCAAAAGGTTGGCGACCCCTGCTCTACAACATAGCAAACCTTGAAATATCTTCAGATACTAGCATGAAGCTTCCAGGAAAACAGCCATAGTTGAAACTTGGAGGTCTCTTGGTTTCATAAAACCCTTCATAAAACCCATTTCTTTGTAGGGAAGTCAAAAGGTTGCATTAGTCATCACTGACCTAACATGTCCTCTTGATCTCAGCTTGATTGTGATGCAACAGTGAAAAAGCCAGGGTACCTCAGGAAGTGCCACCATTATGTGAACATAACCTTGTCCTCTGGGCTTTGTCCTCAAGGCCGTGCTATCAACCCAGAAGAGTCCATGAGGAACAGCAGTCCCCGCTTCAATAAAATGAGGAACACCAGTTTGGGAATTAGGTTGGGAATTGCATTCTTTGTTGTCGTGACGGTTGCAGTCATAATCACCATCAAAAGAGATTCCTTGACTCAGCTCTGTAGGAACCGGATGTATTTGCCCTCTCGGGCCAAACACACGTCATCGGTGATGCCCAAGGAAAGTTGTGGAAGAAACCACACCAAGAAGTCCACTAGCTCCGTTGCAAAGGAGGAATCTGGTGGTGATCATCCCATCACGAAGGCAGTGGAAGGGCATGAAAATCAGCAGCTAGAAGATGCCAGATCTAAGCATTGATGCACCCAAGAAATAATAATAATAAGATTGTAAATACGTGAGCAGGACCTGAGTTTAGTGGCTATAGAAGCCAACAGGGTTGTGAGTTTTAAAAAATAGCAACACTTTCTAATTATATCTATGTTAAGGCTTCCCAGAGATATGAGTAACTCCTGCAACAACTGTCTAAGTGTATAGTATTCTCTCTGCACTGCTTAGGATTAAGGCTACTAGAAAATCAATTTCTGAGTCCATTTATGGCCTGTGAAACAAGAACTGAAGGATTCCTATCCTGGAACGTGTAAATATTAGTTTCTAGTTCGATTTAAATACACAGGCCATGGACTGCCAGAAAAGGCTGTGTATTAAAACAACAGCAGGTGTTGAATTGTGTTGCCCTTATGGACTTTTATTGCTCAAAAATAAGTTTGCATCTGGATAGTATCAATTTTAAGGCTAATTTTTTAAAGAGAAACCTGGGGCCTTTATACCAAGTTTGGAATCTATAAGAAGAGTTAATTGCCTAAAAAACCCAAGGAACGTTCAGGGAAGAAAGGATAACACAAACTTGTAAAATATAAATAAATCAAACATGCCTTGATTTCTTGACTTCCGTTGATATGATTGGTCTTTCTTTTCCTCAAGCTCTCTGTCATCAGTGATGGAAATATATTTTTCCAGTTTATTTTTTTTACCCAAGAGCTGGGCAGACCCAACCGTTACGATGAGGTAGAGAATTGAGGTCCTTGACTACTGACCAAGCTATGGAAGATTCAAATGCATAGTCCTCCTCTGATATCACATTATATTTAAACTAAATTTGTATATCAGTGATTGCATGACCTCTGTAGATGCCATACCTACCTAAATGCATACAAGAAAGTTTACCTCCACATTGAATTTTGGGGGATTCTGTTTCAGAAAGCTGACTTCTCGTATCCTCCAGTAGGTGGTTAATCTGGGATCTTCTTTCTTCCTCTTGGCAGATGGATGTCTTGTAACCTTCCTCCTTCTGCTGCCCAGTTAGCAGCTACCCTACATGCTCCCATGACTCTTGATATGGATGCTGTCCTCTCAGACTTCGTTCAGTCCACGGGGGCAGAGCCTGGTCTAGCCAGAGACTTGTTGGAAGGTAAGAGGTCCACCACGAAACATTCATCCACAGCAGGGGTCCCCAACCATGGCAACTTGAAGGCTTGTGGACTTCAACTCCCAGAATTCCTCCGCCAGCCATTCTGAGCAACTCTCAGTCCACAGGTCTTGAGGCTGCTAAGGTTAGGGGCTTTCAATCCACCTTTCCTTCAGCTCCCTCTGCATGTGTTGCAGGATAGGAGCCCCCCAATGTAGAAGATACACCTCTCCGGATCTCATCTTCAAACCTTACTAGACAACCCATGACTTGTTGCGTCATCCTTTCTGCGAGGCTTCCTTACTTCCTCGTACCTTCAACCAGGGCCGAACAGCTAATGTACTTCCTTCCATGGAAATGTTGGGATACCCTGAAGGGGTTGCTTGGTTGGCGTGCTGCGGTGATGCCGTGTGGTTGTGATAATCCATTGGTTGTTTCCGAGATGTTTTTGATCTATGGCAGTGTTATCCTTTTCACAGCTTGTGTTGGTTGTGAAAAAACTGTTGCCCTGCGATGCATGGTTTTTCAGTTAAAGACTCAGGAATGAAAGCTCTCTCAGTATATAGGTTTATGGGACAAAGCAGAAGAGACAGAATTTGTGGTGAGCAGATGTTGTCAAGGGTGGTAGATCCATTGTTTTGCTACAGTTTTTATTAGCAAGGTTAGACGCTAAGTGGGCTGGACTTTCCTTTGTTCCCTCTTATATCAGGCAAAATCAAGGTGGGGTTATCTTCTCAGGACCATGCGTTCTCTCCTACCAACTTCTCCTTCATGCTCCTTTTAAATGAGCCAGGAAGTCCCCTCAACTTTCCTTCACACGTCCCCATCGTGACATCTGGAACAAGGCGCAAGCTGTCACGTGCATAAAATACGTAACTCAACGCCATTCGCACAAGGATGTCACATCACGCACAGGATGTCCCTTGCCCACAAGTACCTTTGCACCGTTTCATTACAACCTCACGTTCAGGTGACCAAAAGAAGACATTTGTGTAAAGTCCGTGAAAGATACGCTGGTTCTTTTTTTGTATTAAGCCATCTGTAAAAGAACAATCTGCCACCTGTTTTATGGAATAATTCTCACCCACCTCCAGCTTGGTAGATTGCTGAATCCAAAGGAGGTGGGATTTGCCACGCACTTGTACAAAACTGGGGAGAAATTCACATGAGAGCTGTGGAAGGATCCTCTCAGATAGTCTTTAGCTGTTCTGGGAGAAGCCATCTCTGCATCCTTTTCAACAACCTGTGTTTACAAGGGAGGAACCCATAGTTGGCCAACACTACACAACATCACATTCCTTGTCTTATACAGTTCTCTTAATAGCAAGATCAGTAAACAAGAACCAACCAGGAAGGTCTCTTTAAGGCTAGGATCAAACCTTGTTGGACATTGCAATATGAATTTGCAACCTTCCTACATTGACTTGTTGATCCAAGCAGAGTCTCTTTCAATGATTTAATTTTTATGAAATCCATTTAATTTTCAATTAACCAATGGAAGTTCTGAGTGCTCCATCACTGGAGGCTTTTAAGGAGAGACTGGTCAACCGTTTGCCTGAAATGGTCTAGGGCAGCGGTGGCTAACCTTGCACTCAGGTTCTTGCGGGCCAGCACCCAGAAGGCAATGTGCGTACCCCACACACATACCATCTGCACATGCAATCTCTCCCCCCCCCCTCCAGTTGTCCCCTTACCTGCACTGCGCCTCACAGCTGATTTTGGGCTGGTTTGAGGCCCTTTTTTGGCCTCTCAGAGGCTTGAAAAAAAAGCCTCTGCAGGCTTTGCAGGCTGAATAATAGATATTACAGGAAGTGACAAAACGGGCCTATTATTCAGCCTGCAAAGCCTGCAGAGGCTTTTCTTTCAAGCCTCTGGGAGGCCAAAAAAGGGCCTCAAACCAGCTGAAGAATCAGCGGTGAGGCAGGCGCATGCGCAGTGAGGTAAATTTGCCTTGCAGCTCATGTGCCGGCACAAATGACTCTGCATGCCACCTAAGGCACGCATGCTGTAGGTTCGCCATCATGGGTCTAGGATTTCCTGCTTGAGCGGGGTTGGACTAGAAGACCTCAAGGTCCCACCCAACTTTGTTATTCTGTATGATCTCAATTTGAAATGCTTCTTCCCGGCTTCCTGGTTATCTGGGCTAAATGGTCATGGATGATAAATGTCCCCCCTCTCTTTTTAGCTGGTGTGTAACACACTCCCTCTTAGGCTTCCCAGTGTGGCAGGCTGAAATAAAAGTCTTATTTTCTGTAAGCAATACGTTATAGACCATATTTTATCTTTACTGGCACACAGAGAGTGTAAAAGGTAACTTTCCAAGAGCACCAAATAGAAAAACAGTTGTATATGTGTGTGTGTGTGTGAGAGAGAGAGAGAGAGAGAGAGAGAGTATGTGTGTGTGTGTGCTTGGGAAGAAATTGCAACAGTCGGTCAAGATGGTTGTGAATCCAAACGAAGGTAAGATTTAAATAATAGTGGTTTGGAAGAAAAGCAACCTAACTGTTTGACGTCAGCTGGCGTTTCACCGTGCCATTTCAAAGAAATGTCAGCTTGGAGGGCTGCCTCGTTGCCAGCCAATTTGTGGCGACGCTGTTCGCAAGAGCATGTGGTCTGGTGGGAATGTGGTAATTTCTGACTGTCCTTTGAAAGATGGCTAAGAGCGCTCATCCTTCTGCTGTTAATGATGCCTTACTTCAATGGAAGAAAATTAAATGCATTCTGCTTTGATAAAAACCACTAATCATCTTCGGGTGAAAAAAAAAAAAAGCTAAAAAATTGCTCATATGTCATTTCTTTTCTGGGTTTTTTTTTGTTTTTTTCTTTTGGCAGGCAAAGGTTGATCTCTTGGAACAGCAGGATATTGTTCTATCAGCTTGACAATGCTGATTGAATTATGACTTGGAGATAACCATTTTGCAGGCATCAAAATAAGGCCACTACTGTTCCTGGTAGCTTTTCCATGCACAGAAGCCAATTGTGAGATAAAATCGTATAAAAGCATTTTCTGGCTTCCAATTCATCCCCAAAAGTAGCTCGCTCCTTCCTTCCTTCCTTCCTTCCTTCCTTCCTTCCTTCCTTCCTTCCTTCCTTCCTTCCTTCCTTCCTTCCTTCCTTCCCTCCCTCTCTTCCTCTCTCCCTTCCTTCCTTCCTTCCTTCCTTCCTTCCTTCCCTCCCTCCTTCCTTCCTTCCCTCCCTTCCTTCCTTCCCTCCCTCTCTCCCTCCCTTCCTTCCTTCCCTCCCTCTCTTCCTCTCTCCCTCCCTCCCTCTCTCCCTCCCTCCCTTCCTTTCCTCCCTCTCTTCCTCTCTCCCTCCCTCCCTCTCTCCCTCCCTCCCTTCCTTCCTTCCCTCCTTCCTTCCTCCCCCTCCTCAAAATTCCTAAAATTTGCCTTTTCAATGCAGAAAATTATTTGGAATTAGAAAATGTGATCCTTCCTCCAGAATGGTTACATCCTTATTTTAATCCAGTTATCCTGGTGTGTGTGTGTGTGTGTGTGTGTGTGTGTGTGTGTGTGTGTGTGTGTGTGTTTAATCATTTGATGCCATTTCATTGCCACAGTTTTAGCTCTGCCCTTTTTGTCGTGTTCTGTCCTCCCCAACACATGGAAATTGTGTGTTCAGAATAGTCGGGGGAAAGAAAAGGCGGTTTAGATGTGAACGATTAAGGGAGGATGATATAATGAATACTTTAGCGGTTTATTTATTAACAATGCATTGAAAAATAATAAGGGTCTGATGTGATAATTCACCACAGCATTCAAGAGCAAGAATTAAAGTTTAAGAATATAACAAAGGCAATGAACCGGTTATAAATTGAAGTTATATATTATACGTTAGAATGCAGTCCTCAGTGAATGAAATAAATGCGGCTTGTTCAAACATACATCACACTTTATTGTCTCTCTTCTGGAAAACAGTCTCTTTGCAGAGATCTGCTTAATAAAATATGCCTTTCTTTGAATTAAGCATTTTATATTTCCATTTGAATACGGATCACTGGACTCATCCAAAATGCTCAGTAAATTCTATTATTTGGCCATTTTAAATATTTTACGGTGCTATGAACCAACATATACTATCTCTGGAAGAGCTAATGCTCTAAATATCTGAGAGTTGTTTAAAGCTGGATTATAATTAAATATACTATGAGATTTTGTTTGGTTATTTGGCTAATTAACTGTATCAGCATTTATGCTTTCTGTTGATCAAGTGCTATATAATCCAGGTACCTCATTTCTAGAGATAACAAAGCTAAGAGGTCATGGGGCCAGAAGTATGAATCATCCAGAAACTAGTTTTAAGAGTGGTACAGCTTCTCTTTGGCAAACATAGTTTAGATCCACAAAGTTGAATGGGCATCCCCTGTCAGTTCTTGGCTCACTTCCTTTCGAAAGTTATTCAGATTGGTGGACCATCATTACTCAGTTCCACAGATCAACTCTGTGAAATAGGGATTTCTCTCATTTTTCCTCCCATAGTTTAATTCAGGGGTCTCCAAACTAGGTGACTTCAAGATTTGTGGACTGGAACTCCTAGAATTCCTCAGCCGGCTCTTCTGGGAGCTGAAGTCCACAAGTCTTCAAGTTGCCAAGGTTGGAGGCTGTTGGTTTAATTCACTGGCTCATCCTTGCTGGTTTCGAGGAGACCCAAATAACTGGGTGTGCACTCCATTTTAATAAGTTTTAACAACCTGCTATGTGGCGCTGTTAGATAGACCAACATTTCTCCTAGCATCAGAGCTTTCTCCACAGAGTTGGGTTTTCACATTATGTGTCCAAAGAAGGATAATTTGAGCCTGGTCCTTTGTGTCTTGAGTGAGGACTTGTGTCTTGAGTTGATGTGTTCAATGATGCATCGGTTGGCTTTCTTGGCTGTCCGTGATATTCCCGGGCATCTTCTCCAGCCCTAAAGTCCAAATGTGTCAACCTTCTTCCTGTCTTGCTTCTCCAAACCCCAACTGTTGCTTCCAAGAGGCTCACAGACAATGAAAATCACTATCAATGTTTACTTTGATACCTTTTACTTCAGTTTAATGGATCCGAAACAGCGGATGTCTGCTGCTCCTATTTATAGACGTCATACCTGTCGAAGTCAACCCTGCCTCCCTTTCTGTGTTTTTAGGCAAAAACTGGGATTTCACCGCTGCTTTGAGTGACTATGAACAGCTCAGGCAGGTGCACACAGCTAACCTGCCCCACGTGTTCAACGAAGGGAGGTATCCCAAACAGCAGCCGCAGCAAAAGCCGGAGAAAGAACCTTCCCAACAGGTGAACAAGGGTGAGCGGCTCTCCTTTCCTCGGCAGGAGGACACCTCCCAAGGTAAAGTGGATTTCTGCAGTGGGTTCTGCCTCTGAAAAGCACTCCAAAACTTCACCTGACCTTTGGGGCTCATCTCATTCTCCTTCCTTTGTTCTCCTGCTTAGAGAAGAGGCTTTCTAGAGGAATCTCCCACGCCAGCTCCGCCATTGTCTCTCTCGCCCGCTCTCACGTGGCCACCGAATGTAACAATGACCACTTCTCTCTGGAGATGCCCATCTACACCTTCCAACTTCCCGACCTCAGCGTTTACAGTGAAGATTTCAGGAGCTTCATCGAGAGGGACTTGATCGAGCAAGCCACCATGACCGCTTTGGAACAAGCTGGTGAGATAGCCTTCAAGCCGAGCGTCCTGGCTGCTTCGCGGAGACCTCCGTTAAGCCCAGGAGGGCTGAACGCGGGTTACACAAATCAGGAACGACAGCTAATCTCCGAAAGGTTGTCAGCGGGTTAGGAAATGCCTGGGAAAGTGGCTAAAATGATCAGAGAGACGAAACTCTTCGCAGTTCAAGGGGAGGCCAAAGAAAAGGCTGTTCTAAGAAGACAGCGGTGTGTGGGAGGGTTCGGATAAACCTTTCTGAAATCATGAATAATGGAAGACTCTTGGGCGATCTGCTTTTTGCTCGTCTCTTACATAAGTTGAAGCTATCTCTCTGCAGGTGGAAGTAGTTGTTTCTTTAACCACACAAATAAATTTCTGCAGTCCACCGAAGACGTAGTTGAGGTTTACAGGTGACTGAGCTTCCCCTGGGCCTCGTGAATAAACATAATTATCTGCCTTAGAAGCCTTGGCGGCTTCTGCATCTAATGATGCCTTCAGAGAAATGGGCCTTTGAGGGGGATGAGCAGAGCAACCTTCTGTCCCAAAGGTGCTTTTTTGTCCAAGAGGCAATTGGGCTTTCTGGTTTTTTTCTTGGAAGACATTTCACTTCTCCTCCAAGAAGCTTCTTCAGCTCTGACTGGATGGTGGGGAACGGAAGGATTTTTACTTTTTGCAGGAATCCGGTCATTTGAGTCGTTGAGGCCCCTTGGAGGTTTATCTGTGTCCTCAGGGTCACCTGAGTAGTGCGACATCCTGCACTTTTCTTCAACAGAGAAGGGGCATGGCAGAAAATACCTTGCATCCAAGAAGGCTCCACGCCTATTCACTGCTCAGGTGACCCTGAGGACACAGGCACACCTCCAAGTGGCCTCAATGGCTTTCTGAAAGAACGCAAACAACCAGCTGCCTGCAAGGAATCTAAACCCTTCCATTCCCCACCATCCAGTCAGAGCTGAAGAAGCTTCTTAGATGAGAAGCGAAATGTCTTCAAGGAAAAACAAAGAAAATCCAGTTGGCTCTTGGAAAAAAATAAATAAAAGCATCGTTGGGACAGCCATGACCTGAGAAGCTCCGTAGACAAAGCAGTTTTTGTTTCAATATGGTTGAAGGATGAATTTGGATCTGACTAGGTGTGCACAGAGAAGGGAATATAAGTAGCCCTTGACTTATGACCACAACTGAGCCCAGCGTTTCTGTTGCTAAGGGAGACATTGGTTAAGTGAGTTTTCTCGTATTTTATGGCTTTTCTTGACCACTGTTGGTTAAGCGAATCACTGCAGCCGTTAAATTAGTCCCAGGAGCCAAGTTGGCTTCCCTGCTAACTTGGCTTGTCAGAAGGTCACAAAGGAGACCATGTGATCCCCCGGGATCCAGCCAAGGTCATAAATATGAACCAGTTGCCAAACTTCTGAATGTTGATCATGCAACGGTTGTATGAAAAATGTTCCTAGGTCTATTTAAACATTGAACAGAGGGCTAAATCGGCGGCCTCCAACCCGCGCAACTTTAAGACTTACGGACTTTAACTTCCAGAATTCCTCAGCCAATAAAGCTGGCTGAGGAACTCCGGGAGTTGAGGTCCACGGGTCTTAAAGTTGCCATGGTTGGAGACCCTTGGACTTAATGGACTGTTCTAAGTCATGTACATCCTTGACTTACGACAGTCCATTTAGTCCAAGGGTCTCCAACCTTGGCAACTTTAAGACCTGTGGACCTCAACTCCCGGTGTTCCTCAGCCAGCTTTGCTCTGTCCTCTGCTTTGTCCTCTGACGAGCCTTTTGCACTTCAGTTCCTCCACGGAGCAGGTGATGGGCTGTTACCTCTCACGGTGCCCAAGAAAGGCGTTGCTGAAAATGAGAACATGCGACTTCTAATTTTATCGCTCCCAAAGGCCGTCCAGCACATTTAGAAAGATGCTTCCCGAGTGAACTCCTAATTTAGATTTAATCAGAGTAGTTGGGTGAGGAAGCGTATGCCAGCTGCTGCTCATTGAACGTGGGTGGAGATTATCAAAGGCTTTTCACAAATCCAGCTGAGGTTGACCAATGATAACACGTTTTGCTGGGCTGCAGAAAACTCCCATTCTTGTTTGATTAAAAGGCCCAGAGTCTGGCTTGGTGTGGTTGTAGCTCCTGAATTTCTGAATTAAATAATGCTGTATTCAAGTGGATAAGGCAGTTGGGAATCAGATAATTAGTCTAGGAGTTAGTGGTCCTTGGTGCTCTCTGAGCTTGGTTGTTTTCATGTAGATGTTTCATTACCCAACTAGGCAACATCATCAATGCACTGATGGCACCTAATCAGGTAATAAAATGCCTGCAAGAAAACCACACCGAACTCAGAGAGCACCAAGGAGCCCATAACTCATCCCTTAGCTGCAAATAATTTCTTCTGTTGGTGGTTAGTGAAGTTTCTCAATGAGTAACTTCAGAGCTGGAAGCTGAATGCAGCTCTCAACCTGAGGATAGAATTTACTGGCTAATCTCTTCTGCAAGCTTCTTCTCTTCTCTTCTCTCCTTCCTTCCCCCCTTAATGGATCCCTCATGACCTTCTCCAAGATTTCTTCACACCTTTATTGTACTGATGGTTGACTTACCCTAGGTCGGCTCAACTGGTGGTCAACGGCATGTACCAGCTGCAAGCGTCTTCTTCCATTGGCCACAACCGGGGATGGGAACTGCCTCTTGCACGCTGCTTCTTTGGGTAGGTGTCTGTGTCTCCCTTGGCTTAGGATACAAGAATGTCTGTTGAATGTCAACCACAGCTGGTTCTTCTGCAGCTTTTATATCTATACCTTCCTCCTTTCAAATAGAAAAACCTGGCCAGCGTCAATATTCAGCTCTTTTCCTTTCCAATTTTACTGATTTCACCTTATAACTACGCTACTTTTGGAGTGACTCTTACTGTAGTCTCATGCTTTAATTGGCTAAGTCAATGTGGAAGAGACTTATTTGGCCTGGATTTATACAATCGGTCAAGAATTCATGCGGAGAACTCTAAGGTCACCGTACAGGACAACCGAAGATTAGCACTCAACATCAAAGACTAGAACTAAACCGTTCACTATTTTAGTTATTTCTCCTGCAGTCCCCTTGAAATTCAATATTGCCTATATTCTGGTTTCTCTGGGTTTCTTTAATTGATTAGGGACAGTTGTTATATGTTTGTATATTGGATTTTAATGGATTTTTATTGGATTGTTTTTAGCCTGCTGTGAACCACTCAGGTTCACTTAGATAATATGGACGGCTGTACAAATTGAACAAAGAATAATATAACTTTAGCAGATTTTATCTGAGAGGCTTTCAAATAATTAGAAGGCCTTCAACACCAAATGAATTACGCTTTCATTTATTTTCTATTTTGGTTTCTTTCTTGGGAGAGAGAGTTTTTTTTTTTTAAGACCTCAAGGTTTCTTTCCAACTTTATGGATCTGTGATTCTTTAGATAGACCATCCAGCCTTTCTTTTGCTTGTTAGGGATGTGGGGTTTCCACGACCGAGACCTCGTCTTACGGAAAGCCCTTTACACCATGATGAGGAGTGGGGCCGAAAGGGAAGCTTTGAAGAGAAGGTGGAGGTGGCAGCAGACCCAGCAAAACAAAGAGGTTGGTATGTTGGGTGCTTCCAGAGATTTTCTCTCCTGAAAGGGCTTCATGGAACACTTGTTTTTGGTTGAATGGAAGGTGGATGGAGACACAAAGGCCTTCCATTCCTGTTTCCCTTGGACCACAGAAGTTCTCAACTACCCCAGAGAAATCTGGAAGACGTTATTGAATTGTTCTTCGAGGACGTCATCTCTCCCAACATCAAAGCATGTCCTTCCTGCCCAGCCGTTGGTATCCGAGTTCTTCTTTTCTTCTGTTGTGGCCTGTTTTCTTTCTTCAAAGAAACAATGGGAGGGGATGAAACCCATCTGTGGCCAACAGTTCATCTTCTCGGGTGTAAATGTGAATTTTGGCACAAAAACTGATCTGGGGATCCCTTGAAGTTCTGCAGGTTGGAGTAGGACAATGTTTTCCAACCGTGGCAACTTTAAGATGGGTGGACTTCAACTCCCAGAA